GCAGCACTTGGCAAAAGTCTATTGCTCTGAAAAGCATGTTGCTACATGTACACACACATGTAGAGATGCAAGTAGGGTCGGGTTAGGTTGGGTTGAGATCAACCTTAACCAAACCCAAGCTGTTGAGCCCCTAACCCAACACAATTTTCTGGTTGGCTTGGGTTCAGGTTAGCCTGACTTCTCTACTACCCTTTGCCAAATGTTCTTATTTCCTAGACTTGGGTTGAGATCAATTCAGTTTTAACGTTATCATATATTGAAGGATATAGTTATCATGCTATGGAAGAAATTTTTCCTTGTACTTTTTCAACCCTAACAGTAACCCTAAGTTCAATCTGAGCATCCAACCTAACTTTTCGTGTTGGCTTCAGGCTAACCCAACCCAAGTTGCAGCCATTCACACATGGGGCTTTTACAGGTTTCTATTTATTCTGATTCATCCAGTCATGTACTCCAATTTGGGCCCTCTAATAGAGGTCCATTATGCAGACAAATAGGAGCTTTGATTACAGTGGTTTGGTTCATCCAAAGAGTGGCAGATTATCATTTGCTTGGAGGATCAGGTTCACGCAAATGTATCTGTTTGAGAGCCCAAAAGGAGTCTCTATTGGCTAAATGGTTTTAAACCTTCAGCCATTTTCCTCCACATAGAATCTTTACCAGTAGAAAAATTTAGCTTGCAGAAGTTGCAAACAAAATATGCAAAACAAACTTAGATGAGATTGTCCAGCAAAAAAAGGCATACCATAGTATTTCTGAATTTCTTCTGCAAATAATTTGTGATGATGACCAAGGGAACCTGATAATCAAGAAAGTAAAAGAAAACCAAAAAAAATGTAAACCTCCTATCCAGTAAAAATCATGGCCCAACTATTCTGTCAGTTTCAGGTGGAAAGTTCCTTTCCCCATAGTTGCATGGATTTAGGGTATAGGGAAGCAACGCCCTTCCAAGTTAACCTCTCTTTTGAATAAGATCCAGCAATTATGGCAACTATGTAGCTGCTATATAAAAAAGTATTGTAGTTTTTCCAGGTCAATAACATAAAAAAGATAAATATAAGCAATGCCGGTAAACTGAGTTATGCAACTCGTAGATACCTTGCCCTAAAGAAATGGCAGGACACATGAAAAAACACTAGAAAATCATCATCCCACCATGCCAGTAGGACAAAGTATCCAATGGTTGCACAAACTCATTGTTTACTAGATTTCCTTGATAAATATATACAAAGAAAAGGAGAAAACTCTTTAGGATAATATTACCTGAAACATAATTCCTATAAATGCCCAAAATTTTAACATGCGACAAGGGACACCAATCAATAACTGTAGGCAATACAAAACAAAAATAATGTGCAAAAATCAGAAAATAAACATATATGAATAAAGGAAATCATCACAGTATCCATTATATATACTAAAGTGGCGTAAGATACAACAAAGATAACTTGTTCAAGCAGTCATTTCAATATGTAACTTGTTTAAGCAGCCACTTCAATATTCTTTCTGTATGGATACAGACCACATTTTTGGCACTTTTTTGCACAAAGTGGCCGCTCTCAGACTCAAGCACATTCTAACTCTTGTCAGTTTGAGATTTTACCACAAAACCATGCAACGATCCCTAATGGCCTCATCAATGAGTATGTCATTCCATTACAAGGAACCAGTTTTCCCATTTCCAAAAGAGCGATTCTCACCATCATCTAAAAAGTTCATGATAAATCCAATGTGAAATATAAAAAGTTTATGATAGACCCAGTGTAAAATATTTAACATATGAAGATGGCCAAGATTTTTGTGACATGTTTTGGTGTGAGAGAGAGAGAGAGTAGTGTTTTAGGTGTGGGGCTTTAATTTTATTTTCTTTCCTCCAGCTAGTTACTAAAAAGTGGTCTGGGCCACCCACCTAAATAATTAGAGGTATTTGAGCCTTTCTATTATATTTTGTTTAAAGCTCTAATGTGTCACTGAAATTACATTATTTGAATGGCTCATATTGTTAGCAGGTTTAAGTCTTTAAGTATTGTTTTCCCTGCAATCAGTACATTACCTGTACTTCCTCAAACTTTGGTCATAGAATTCATGGAAGTCTCTCTTGAGTGTTAAAATTTATCACTGTTATACACTGACACTGACATGGATACAGAAAGGGAAATGCCAATACAACTATCTATTTCCTAAGATCCCATAGAGTGGTAGTAGTAAGAAATGATTTAAGAGCCCATAATTTGATGCCAGATATGGCACAAAGAGAATGGAATGGAAAAATAGGATTCATGTAGACGACCCCATGTAGTTGGGACAAGGCTTAGATGATGATGATTTCCTAAGATCCCATAGACCTGGACATGAATAAAGTTAATAGGTATCTCATCTAATATGCATTTGTCATTTTTTGGTAGTGACTGTCATGCTTATATATCTCACTTTTGAAGCTAAGTGTCATTTTTTTTAATATAAATATCATGCCAAATTTAATTAAGCTTCAAATATAAACAGATTTTTTTATAGTATGATTTGTCAAAGAGTGACATACCACTTCACATATATTAGAAGAATACCATAGAAATGTCTGTGGAGCATCCAGTGTCATGTCAGATGTATTGTGTCCAACACCAGTACACTAGGCATATAAGGTATTTAGGTATCGTATGCTAAAATGAACTCTGCTCTCTTGTTCCTCTATTCCTTTTTTACTGACATGTATAACCTGTGTCAATAATGGGTATACAACACATATAGGACATTACCAAAATTTACACAACAATGTGGTATGATGCAACTGCTCATCATCCCTGATGTAAAACTTCACATGCCTTTGGCACTTAACTAATCTGAACCGTAAGGGCAATTTTATTAAATGAAGAGAAATGAGTGGCAGTCATCTGTAATCTTCATTGTGCCAGAGCTTTTGTTCATATTTTTGGCTTGAAAACACATTTTCTACCACCATCATGTTCATTATAATTTAAGATTTTTATATTTACTACCACGCCCAAGGAGGGGCACCCAGTCTGGAACCTTTGCTGTCATAATGGTTAACTCTGACTTCAATTTCTGCAAATACTGAAAATACTCTGATAAATATTAGAGCCCCAATATTGTATAAACAATTTTTCATGATCTTCCAAATGATTTCACACCTTAAATTATTTAAACAATAACTTGCAGAAGACAAGGGAATCATAGATTTGTAAGGATGACATGAAAACCAATATTACAAATTGTAGAATATGAAGACACAAGAAACATTAAACCTATGTGGAGGGAAAAGATAGGAAATAGTAAGGCCTCTTTTTCTCCCAAGCCTAACCTAATAGCTAATAGTCTAATACAATAAGAGATTTAAAAGAAACAGGAAAATGAGACCAAAAATAATAATAATAAAAGTGACTACATGTGCCACCATTAAGTTACTGTGTAACCAAACACATTATATATCAGGGAGAATTGTTATCCAGCAAAAGCTTGGTAAGGTAATGTACCTCATGGAATACAGCTGAAATGAAAAAGGCAATTACAATGGAAACTCCCTGAAATCAAAATCAAATAAAAACACAAATTCAAAAATTTTATCAGCAAGATTCCACTATCAAAGTTGATCATTTAAATTCAGAAATAAGTGAATCATGTTGAAGGACAAGAGCATAAAATTCCAATGAATTAAAATTTTCCTAGTGAAAGGTGATCAGCCAAAGCCTGAGAAACAATGCTTTGCAGGCAGAAATGGCATTAAGCAACTTGACAAACTCTGAAACTCCTTTTATTGACTAATAACTTGAATAATTTTGGTTTAATTCCAAGGTAAATAGCATAACTAAGATTTTTTTTATAAGTAATAGCAATAACTAGGATTAGTCATTTATAATTTGTTTTATTCATATATATCTATCAAATTTAAATAATTAATATCATACCAAGCATATTGTGGCACCTTGAGAAGTAGTAGAAATGTAGAATATTTCTTCATCAAGGAAAGAAAAGAGCCCTTTCTAACAAAAGCAATATATTGACTCATTTGGATTTCATCTTTTGAGCAAGAGCCACTTCTCATAAACATTGTATGGTACATATTTTGTGCACCTTGTCATCTCAAGTTAAGCAAGGGACATATGTTCTTCACTCATATTTCTTCTATTAATAAAATAAGAAAGTAGCTCATGGCTTTTTAGAGTCCCTTGCACCTTGTAGATCTGTAGGCATATCCATTAGAAAAGAGATTTGCATTATCAATTAGACAAGTTTTTCTTCAAAATGAAGTAGTCATTTGACATTTTTCTGTAATCAAATATTTTCTCCTTCACAAACTTGGAGAAAGCCTGTCCTGTGAAAACAACCACCATGTTCCCCAGAGCAATGTAAGGTCTATGGTGTTTATTGAAAGAAAATAAACTAATATTAGTTAACAACTGATAGTTTAAGTTGGGTGGCCATGGCTAGCCCAACATGACATTTCAGCTTCCATTGTCTCTATAACTCATTTATTCATGTTAACAAAATTCTGACRGTGAACAATAAAAAGGAGGGGTGAATCAAGTTGAGGTATGAACTTTTTCTGCAGTTTGATGTGGGTCAGTGGGCGGTTATGTAGGTTGGGGTACTCCGGATGGATGTGGTTTGTGGGCAGTGTCTTTGCTTCTGAGCTATGGAATGTATCCATGTTTGTGCTGTTTCTATATTTGGAACTTGGGTCTAGGTTTTCCTTTTTACCTTTAGACTCTTCTCTTTTGTGGGTACATGCTGTACATATTTGATCCTTTGTTTATATTATACAATTAATTTTATCTGTTAAAAAAACTATTACTTTTTAGTTTTTATAATATGTATATGCATGCCCATAGCCCTTTTTGCAGAGCACATATAGCAATTAATGATTTGGCCAAGAAAGTGGAAAAAAAAGAAAAGAAATTTAGAAGAGGAGAATAACCAAATAAAACATTAGGCAATATGAAATCAAATAAAACAATCATCGCCATGCAACAAAGCAGCATTTATTACATTAAAACTTAAGAAAAGTCGATTACCCTGGGTAGTCCATGTCGTATGCATGGAAAATAAACATGGCGAACCATCCATTTATGCACAGGCTGTAGTCAATGAGGAAATCATTAGTTACCAACCATTCATGCCAACTAAATAATGTCATACTTCTGTTAAAAATTTTTTAATGAGTACACTTTTTGTAATATTGTTGTAATATAATTCACAAATTTAAGGTTAAAAATCAATGTATCAAGAGAAAATGCAAGTATAAATTGCAAAAAAAAACAATAAAACTAGATTTTAATTGAGAAAACAACATTGATGAAAAGATAAGAATAAATGAATAATTAAACCTGGAACAAAGCAAGGAGAAGTCAAACACTACCTTGTCCCTTTAGAAAATGGAGGAGCAAGTGCTTGAGTTTTTTTTTTTTTTTTGAAAGGAAAAGATTAAATTTTCATTAAAAGAAAAAAAAAAATACATAAGAAAGGTGACGAGATATCACCTGAGAGAAGCACACTACACATCCCTGAGACAAAACAACCCTACAAGAACAACAATTGGTACTCAATCAAAGCAATCAAACCCAAAGGCCCCACTAATAAAACTGAGAAAACATTCCAATTCTTTTATCCGACTTCAGCAAAAACAAACTTCCCAGGCTTCACCCAATAAGAAGAATTATTCCTCCCCATCAAATTCATCCGCCTGTCCCTCCCCTTCGTCCCAAACCTCTCCCACCTTCCCCTGTTACATGTTCCTTCCACCTCTCTTCCTTCTTTCTATCAAACTCTTCAAAGGCCCTTCTAGCAAAAGCCTCACCACCCCAGAAAAACAAACCTAGAGCCTTGTCAATCTCCACTTCTCTCTCAACCAATTTCCTTAAACCCCCACTACCATCTTTCTTTATCCTCCCCCTCTAAACTTGACTTGTCTTCTTTCCTCAACTCTTTGCTCTTTCCCTCCCTTTCCTCTACAGCTCCACTCCTTTCCAACTCCCCCCCTGAAGGACATCCCTTGACCCAATTTGGTCATCACGGCAAACCCCAACAAAATTCTTATTGGTCATGGCTCTCGCATTAACTTCTCTTAAATACTTTCTTCTATTTATTACAGGGACCAGCCCCAACAAACCCCTCTTTTAAGCACGAAAAAACCTTTGTAACATACACAAGATGGGATTTATTCATCCCTCTAGACCTCTTCCGTCACCGACTCTTGCTGTTTCTGCTGGGCTTATTTTCTGAAACGTTACAATTTGAGGACAGGGGATAGCATGATGCAAATTCTCTACCAGAGATGAGTTGCCAAGACCATAATACYAACAAAGAGAGGGAATACCAACGAGGCTCACCCTAATGACTAGAAAACAAGAAGAAACCGATCCACAAACCATAATACTAACAAAGGTAGGAGATTCAATATGCACAACTGCATTGGACGAGGATATGAACACTTGAACCAATGATTAAAGAAGAGGAGAAGATGGAAAACTACAAGGAAAAGACAGCAAAGCCTAAGCAATTAAACAACTAGAAAACAGATGCTCAAAGCATATATTGGAGCAATAGAAATGACATCCTTCCCCCCTTCTTTGAATAAAAGTAACAAAGATTTGAGTTAATAAAAAAGAGGACTTTATGAAAGGATGTACATGAGTACACTAAATATGCAGTTGCAGCCCCATCTCAAAGCAAAAAGAACTAGGAAGGCAGATAGCTGTCACTATACAAAGAGGCCCTTCCTGCACCAACCCTAGCTAACCATCAGCACTCAAATTCCTCTCTCCAGGGATCCACCACAATGTGGTCAAGAAAAATTTTAGAAGTATCACTCTAATAATTGTTTGACAGGCCCACATTATAGCATCTACTGAGTTGCCCAGAATCATTCGCCCAATTATATTTTTTGGATTTGAGAATTCTTGATATCTTGCCATTTTAATGTTGCCATCATGAAACTTAATGTTTTTAGTACATCCATATATCTCTTATAAAAAAAAAAAGTACTTTTCAGTAGGTTTGAGTTGTTTATATTAAACACTGAATGATTATTTTCAGTAAAACCAATTTGTATTTCCACTAAAACACAACTTTTACTACATATAAAAATCAAACAAATCACCTTTTTTTCAGAGAATATATTTTGTGGAATGTGGAAGGAAACGCCTTTGGCAGGATTTTCTTTTTTTTCTTATTTTGAATTTGAAGAGGACAGAATAGAAGAACATCTTTCTGAAAGAATATCAGACATCATTCATCCAAAAAATGGGCTTTGCCCAAGAAAATAAAGGCAAAGCCACCTATACAGTGAGTGGCTGTATGACCTATACAAAAAACAGATAAATAATCTCAAATATGTATATATCATGCTTTAATGTCTAGCTTTTGAAGCTCACATATTTTTATAATATGATTTGTTAAAACAATACCATTTTAAATATTTTAAAAATGCTAATAATATAAAGCATACTGGGGCCATTATTTGGTATAATGGTAAAATAATGGGCTGGCAAGTGTGAGAACGTAGATTCCAGTCTGAGGGTAGCCACTTTGTGGGAAATAATGCCAAAAGTTAGGGATAGGACTGTACCCAGTCTACCCCTCCCGAGACCCCAGATGGCTGGAACCGACATGGGGTAATGACCATTTTTTAAAAGTCTTGGTTAGATTAGTTGCTGGAAATCCCTTTGAAGATTTTTTGTAAGGTACGATTCATATTAAACTATAATAAAAACAAGGCAGCGCTGCTATACAGTAAGTATGGTTATAGACCTAGCTACAGATACACCTAATACATTATACCCAGCCCCCTGGACCCCCCCCACCACCACCACCATTCCACTCATTAAAAAATTGGTTGAAACTGAGGCCCCTAAACTCTTCAAAGTAGATGCCCAAGAGAAAACTAATCACTCAATCATCATGCCCATGGTAACCACAGAGGGTAATTTTCTAGGTATGACCCATCATCAATCAAATAATTTAATAAAATGCCAACATGTGTTCATGGAAGAGCAATGAATGAGGAGGTAATCATTGCTCTTCCATGATTGCCACAGAGGGACCAAGGAAGGCAGTATTTTTTTTCTAGTCAATTCAGGAAGCTTAGGTATTCAAACATGAGTGAGTCAGTTGTAAGGATGACCATTTTATTAATAAATATTTTTTCTTACTTTGGGATAAATACCAATAAAATTTAATTAATAGAAAAAAAAAAGTATATACAAGAATCCAACGGCTACTGTATAAGTACAATTTGGCCCAAAATAGTTGCTCCCTAGTCACCCCTTGCTTTGCTAAGGCACCAGCCAATGTATTGCTGACCTATTCACCATTTCACCCACTTGAAAGTTGCCTCCACCTCTCTTGCTAGCCCCCTGATTTCCCTTATTATTTGTCTTAATATCCAAGGACCTTCACTATTGCTCACCATACAACCCACAACCAAGATGGAATCGCCTAAAATCTCAATTTGTTTCAGATTCAGTTGCCTTGCTAACTTTAGTCCTTGAAGGAGGGCTGAAATTTCTACTGTTAATGAGTCTTCTACTCCTAATGGACCAGGTAGAGAGCCATTATCATTCTGCTGCCATCTGTAAAGATTCCCCCTATGCCTGAAAGGAAAGGAATCCACCAGGAGCTTCCATCAAAGTTCATTTTAATTCTATTGTAACTTGGAGGGACACACTTCCCATGCACTACCACCTTTAATGCAGATTATGCTGCTATAACTTCCCACCCTCTAAGAAAATCATCCATGGAATCATTGAAGATCTTCAATGTCTTAACCCAGTGAGGATTACCTTCAGTTTAATTCCTTCAATTAGAGATTCCACAGATTTGCATTGCTAATTGAACAGTATTATTTCTTTCCTCCAAAACTAGCCATATTATAGCTGCTATTGTAGCTCTCCACATTACCWTTCCTCTTCTTTCAAACAGGAGTAGGAATCCTGAGTTGAAGCAGTTTCACCACTATAATGGCATAAGACACAAACATGGGGATAAGCAACAAAGGGGGTCTTCTCTTTTGTAGCATGTCACAAGAGTTTATCTTTCTCAGCATTCCCAACAGAAACCTTGAATCTTGGGAAGACAAGCTTGCACCACACCTCCTTCACCAGAGAAGTCGCTACAAAAGAGGAAGATAGGACTAAGACATCAAAAAGGGAGCACAAGAGAACAYCCCTAAAGGGGAAAGAGCCCAAACCCTACTATCAGAACAAGAAGAATCTAGATAACAGACTTCCAAAATGGCAAGCAGATCCAACAAAGACACAAACTCACCTTCTCTTAATCAGTTAATCCTCTTCTAAATTCAACGCCCCAAACAAAACCACCTGAATAGTATACTAGGAATTTAGAGTTAGGATCCAACTTATAATTACAGAGGGCATACAAAGAGGGAAACCCATCCTTGAGCAAAGAATCCCCATTTCTAGAGGAGTTAGGATCCAACTTTTAAGGCCATTCTCAGCGTCATATCTTATGAAGCTCCTAAAGGTGGGAAGAGAGTCAACTATGGATTTCCAAGGGTAGGCAGAGGAGGTTGTAGAAGAGACAGAAGCATCCCAACCATTTCTGGACTGCCCATGTATGGTCTCTATTACCTTGTGCCACAGCCTATCCTGTTCTAGAGGAAATCTCCACAACCATTTTCAAAACAAAGCAGAGTTTCTAAGGACATGTTACCTATAACCCCTCCCCCCTCCCATCTCTTTCCTCCTACCCAATAAATCCCGTCTCACTGAATGGTCCATTTTAGATTCACCTGGCTCCCAAAGGAAATTCCTCATAATTTTCTGTAATTTCCTAGCCACTTTCATTGCAATTCAGAACATTGAAAGGAAATAAATAGGTAAATTGGTCATTGTAGCTTTTTTTTTATGAATATTGGCCATTGTAGCTTTAATTAGAGTAATCCTCCCTCCATAAAGATATATAGTTTTTCTTCCACATGGCTAGCTTTTTGGTGAATCTCTCCAACACAGGTTTCCAAAAGTCACCAGCCCTAGGATTCCCTCCCAAAGGCAGTTCAGATTTGACTTCTTTTCAAAGCTTTGGGAAAAGCCTATGAGGTTCCTAAGATACTCTTCATCATCTTCCCCTTCACAAATCTTTGATCAAATTATTCTTATTCACTCCAGTGATCAATCTACTTAGCACATCAACTACGAGGATGAATAAAAAGAGGGAAAGTGGGTGCTCTTGTCTCAGTCCTCTCTTAGCCAACCAATCCACCATAGGCCTTCTCTAGATCTAGTTTACACACTAGTCATTTTCTGCCACTTCTTTTCCTCTCCTCCATACATTCATTAGCAATAAGAATTTGGTCTATTATTTGCCTCCCCTCCACAAAGGCTCCTTGAAATGGGGGGATTAAAGACGGAAAAACCACCCTAGTTCTCACACCCTGGTGATGATCTTATATAGGCTTCCCACCAAGCAAATTGGTTTAAAATTCTTGGGATGGCAAGCCCTTGGCCTTTTGGGAATCACAACAATAAAGGTTGCATTAGGCCCTGCATTAATCCTTCCCTCTCAATGAATTCATCAAAAACCCCTTTCACATCTTATTTTATTACATCAAACACCCCTTTCAAGTCTTGAAAAAAGGCCATAGTGAACCCATTTGGTCTTGGAGCTTTTATTCTGTTTATCAAAAACACTGCCTCACAAATCTCTTCCATTTCAAATCTTCTCTCCAACAGCTCCACTTGCTCTGTGTTTAACACTGATCAATCCACCTCTAGAGGGTCAATCCTACTCTTCAAATGTCTGTTTTGTGGGAACTAAGAAGTCAAAATTGGAATTTTTGAACTATTTATGCATTTTTGTGTAGTAGAGGTATTTTGATCATTTTACAAAATTACATGTGTGGGGCCCAAGTTAAGATCTTGCTTTGTCTAGCCATTGTTTAGTAGAGTATTTAAATTAGGTTGAATTGAAGCTTTCCTCTACCCCTCCCCCAAATAGGACCATATTCATAATACATGAATATAGCTCCATTTAAACATTCCATGTCCTATTCATAACAGAAATATCTATAAGTTTAATAACCATGCCAACTAGAGCTCATCTACAACAAAATTCGCAAGAAATTTAGAGCAAAAGAAACAGGATCCTTTGGTCTTTATTCATACAATATATGTAAAAGGTACAATATTATAGCAAGGTGCCAACCGGCTGGTTGGTAAGGTCTACTACTGGTTGTAGCAGAGACTTGGGATCAAATCCTGCCTGCACCTGGGTTGTAGGGTTTATGGGTTTGGGGGATGGGCTAGCCCCTTGTAGCAAATAAGAAAAAACGGTACAATATTATAACTATATCCATATTAGGCATTATATGTAACCAGGAAGGAAAAACTATTAAACTTTCATCCTCAACAAATCTAAGAAACTACTTTGAATCAATAAACCAGTTGAACAAATTGTAATAGATCAACACAACTGATGATTTTTCTTATCCCACTGAATTGAAAAGTGCAAAACAGTTGGTAGTAGAGAGGTAATACCATGTTCCACATTCTCCAGTACTGATAGACAGCTCCAATGGCAAAACAAGTAAACGGAAAATACAGTAATTCAAAGAAAATCAGTTCAGCTAAAGAAATATTGAAAAATCAATACAAAGGAATGCAAGCTATCAAACAGGAAATGCTACCTCTTCTATTGTTTTTGCATTCCACCAATCCTTGTAGAACTCACGATCACCAAAGCAAAGAAGCTCAGCAAGTATATTCAACCTATTTATTCAACATTGTATCTCAACTTAAAATGTCTCAAAGAAAAAAGAAAAAGAAAATTTGCAACAAAAGAAAGCTAACATCACTAGTTGAGTTTTATGAGAGGGTTTTATGGCCCCCCATACTTCCAGGCAGCCACAGCTAAAAGCATGCTTTAAACTCCATCTCTAATTAGTAATATGGTTGAGCCCAGTCCTAAAACCACTCCCACCCCAAAGGAAATTTGTATTTTCTCTTTTTTTTTCTTTTTTTTCTTTTTATTGAGAAAGAAGTAAGGTATTGTAGTGAAGTTATACTGTAACAAACAAAAAACATATATCTGTCCAGTATGCTCCATGTACAGCCAGCAACTATACACAGAAGCCACCCCAAAAAAACTAGGCTCTCAAGACTAAATACTAGAGACATACTTTAAAATTAGATAAACAAAGTGCCATAATCAAAATACTGATGATGTGGGATATTTGAAGGAATCCTTGGCAGACAACCAAAAAGACAGGGTAGCCATAGCCCAAACCACCACATCATCTAAAGAGCAAAACTTTCCTTCAAAAATCCTTCCATTTCTTTCTTTCCACAGAACCCAGCACACCATGTGAGGAATAGCATTCCAAAGCACCTTGCCCCAACCACTTAAGCCCGGCAACTTCCAGGAGAGTAATAAATCAGGCAAAGAACTTGGCAGACACCAGCTGACATTCAGTAGGGAACAGAAGTGACTGAATAGTTTATGAGCAGCATTGCAATGAATGAAGAGATGATCAGCAAACTCGACTTCCTTGTTACACATGACACAGTTCAGAGAATTCGGTACCAAACCTCTCTTGATCATCTGATCTTTAGAGAGACATTTACCATGAGCTTCCATCCAAACCAAGAAGGAGACCTTTGATGGAATGTGAGGGGGTCATACTTCTTTCCACAGAAAAGCCTGAGAACCACCAGCAGCCAGCTTCTTATAAAAGGACTTCACAGAGAAAATGCCATCACTGGACCATTTCCATACACTTGAATCTATTATCTTGCTGATTTGGGTGTGGTTGTTGAGTCTGAAGTAGCTGGAACAATGCTAGCATGTCTGAAAACTGGCTCCCAGTCATTGAGATGTCTCCCAAATTTAGGACACCAAGACCCTGTACTCCCACACCGCTCAAACTGATCTGCCACCATAGCATCCCTATCCTCAGCTATAAGAAACAGTGAAGGGAAAACCTCTATTAAAGCAGAGCTGTTGCACCAAGGGTCTTGCAAGCATCTTACCCTTCTCCCATCTCCTACTTTCAGTCTCACCCCTTGAAAGAAATTAGGATAAACCTTCTCAATCTCTTTCCAGACTGAACAACCAGCAGAAGAGGGAGTAGGCCCAGGATTCCAACCACTGTTTCTAGTACCAAACTTCTCCACAATCAGCTGACTCCACAAGGTTTGGGGTTGAGAATTGAAGAGACAAAGCCACCTACCTAAAAGAGCAGTGTTAACTTGTCAGAAACTTCTCACACCTTATTACAGGTTTGCAAATAGTTTCCCACTTAACCTGATGAATTCTATGTTCACCATCCTTCTCACACCAAAGGAAATTCCTTCTAATTTCTCCAGCCTTTCAGCCACCTGGGCTGGGATTGGAAACAGTGATGAAATGAATAGGCAGGTTAGCTAGTGAGCTTTTCCACAGAGTAATCTTGACTCCCTTGGACAGGTACCTGGACTTCCAACCCCCTAACCTATTCTCCAGTCCAACAACTGGGTCCCAAATGGACTTGGAGGAGCATTTTGCCCCAACTGGAAGACCCAGAAAACTAAAAGGAAGCTTCACCACTTTGCATCCACGTTCCAAAGAAAGTTCCTGGATGTTATTGACCTCCCCAACTGGAAAGATCACACTCTTCTGGAAATTAACCCATAACCCTGAAACCACTTCAAAACCAGAATCATCCAAAGATTAATCAACTGCTCCTCTCAGCCTGAACAAAAAACAAAGTGTCATCCACACACTGTATCAAGGGAACCTCTGTTCCTCCTTCTGCCACTCAAAAACCTTCAATATATCCTTCAACCGAAGCTCTTCTAGTCATTCTAGCTAGGGCCTCCACCATGCAAATAAACAACAGGGGAGAGAGTGGATCTCCCTGCCGGAGACCCCTCAAGGTTTTAAAAAATCTAGAGGGTGACCCATTTACAAGAATAGAGAATTTGGCAGTAGATAAACACACTGATCCAATTCCTCCACTTCTGTCCAAAATTCATCTTCTGCAAAACTGAGTTGAGAAACCTCCGGTTTACGTGGTCATAAGCCTTTTCCAGATCAATCTTACAGACCACCCCATTGCTCCCGCTCCTTAATTTCAAATCCACCAGTTCATAGGCAACTAAGACACCTTCTAACAACAACCTTCTTGGCAGGAAGCCCCCCTGTGAACCTGTGATGATCTCAGGAATTAAATCTTTCCCCCACCTGCAGCTTCTACAAAGTTTTTTCCCTTTTGCGACAATTTTCTACTGCATGGAAGTACTTTGTATTTCTGTCGCCCGCCTTCAGCCAAGAGATTTTAGCCTGTTGCCTCCATTTTATCTCTTCCTGATAGACTACCTTATCAAAACAAGACTTAGCCTCACTCCTGGCTACTTTCTCCTCTTCAGAAAGGTTCACAAGCTCCTCTTTTTGTCCAGCTCTTCAATGGTGTTTAACAACTCTCTTTTCTTTACTTCTACTGCTGCCTTAAAACTATTCTAGCTTTCTCCTCAAACCCTACCCCCCATAGCAGAATAGGTCTGTGGTCAAACACTAGTCTGCGCAAAGCTTCCTGATATAGGTTAGGGAATATTTCTTCCCACTCAGTCAACACTAAGAACTAGGGTAGGATCACCCTGATTATTAGTCCAGGAAAACTTAGCTCCAGCCAAAGGTAAGTCCACCAGACCATGCCTATAAACAAACTCCCTGAAAGTTCTCATTCCCGTAGTCCTCCTCAAAGCCCCATTCTTCTCCTGTGGGAACCTGATAATATTGAAATCCCCATCTATACACCAGGGGAGATTACCCCTACTCCGGATCCTGTCCAGTTCCTCTCAAAACGCATGCCTTTCAAATTCTTCATTAGGACCATAGACCCCAGTGATAATCCCCTTGAAATCTCCTGCCCCTGACACTTCAATCGAGACAAAGTATTCCCCAACAAGAGAATCACAAACTGTGGCAATGTTAAGGTTCCAAACTACCAATATCCCCCTTGCTGTTCCAGAAGCATTTAAACATCTGCACCCACACTACACATCCTTCCATACACTTTTGACAACCAAAGCCTCCACCCTACTCTAGGTATCCATGGGAGGAAGGGTCACTTTAATTAAATCCACTCTAGCTAATCTACCTGTGTATTTCTTGTTAGTTTTTAAAATCCCGAGTGAGGATAGCTAAGAAGTTASAGAACCTAATGAGGAACCTTCTTTGTCTTTGGGAACCGGGGGAGGAAAAAAAGGATCATAGAGCTAGATGGGAGGTGGTGTGTAAAAGCAAAAGGTTAGGAGGTTTGGGAATTGGGAATGTGCAGATAAGGAATTCAGCTTTGTTAGGTAAGTGGCTATGGAAACTTCCYGAGGAGAAAGAAAAACTATGGGCCAAGGTAGGGGTGAGCATGCATGGGCTAGTGGCAAATGGCTGGGACACTGGAATTAGAGCAAGGACTAGAAGAGCATCTCCATGGAAATCCATCCAAGCTATTCTTCCTTTGTTCTTGCCTTGGACCAGGTATGTTGTACATTCTGGAAACTCTATTAAGTTTTGGGAACAAGTATGGGTAGGGGTTACCCCCTTGAAGGATCAATTTCCTTCATTGTTGGCATTATCTTCATACAAAAATGAGCCTATTTCTACCTTGTTGGTCCCCTCTAATTTTGGGATGGGGTTTAATTGGGATCTAGGTTTGAGCAGGGCTATTAGGGATTCCGAAATAAATAATACCTTGTCTTTGATGGGCATCCTTGATGGGGTGTATTTGAACCCTTCTCAACCAGATAAAAGAATATGGACTCCTACTCCTCATGGGTTGTTTACTTGCTCTTCCTTTTTCAATGCCCTAACCCTTCCGGTAGCTAGTGGGGGCCCATCCTTCCCTGTTAAAGAGGTGTGGAGTAAACCTATCCTGCCTAGGATTGGAAGTTTCTGTTGGGAAGCATACTTGGAAAGAATCAACACTTGTGACTTACTTCAAAAGAAAAGACCAAAGAGTTGTTTGTCCCCTTACTAGTGCTATCTCTATAAGGTCGACGGTGAGTTCCGGTAACTTTGATGGAAGCAGTTTTGGCAATCCAGGGCCATCGAGTATTAGGGGTGTTCTAAGAGATGAGAAAGGGACAATAATTGCCTTGTTGCTGAGTCCAATTGAACCTGGTGACTCTCTTAGAGTTGAGATCTTGGTGGCATTGGAAGGTGTTCAGAGAGATAAGGAATTAAACTTACAAAAGTTGATCATTGAAGGGGACACCAAGCTGGTGGTGGAGTGGTTGAAAGAAGATAAAAATGGGATATGGAGGTACAGCAATGAAAAGAAGAGATTCAAGTGGTTAACCAGAAACATGGAAATTGAAGTAAATTGGGTCAAGAGGTGTGCTAACTCCATTGCTGATGGGTTAGCAAAACAAGGGGTAAACAGGGATACATAGTTTTGGGCACAACTGTAATGTTTTAGCTTGTTTTGTTTCTTGTTGGGGGAGATAAGAAAGGTTATCTCCCCCTTGTATCTTTATCTATTTCTTAATGAAATCTTTGTTATTGATCAAAAAAAAAAAAAATCCACGCTACTTGGTTTTGTTTCCTAAGTCAGGACGACATCTGGTCTATGCAATTTGATTAATGAACAGATGACTACCCTTCTTTGACCCGAGCACAAGTCACGTACATTGACTACATTCCACGATAAAACCTTCATCGCAACACAGAGAAATAAAGAAACTATCACCACCCGGAAAGACCCCTTGAGACCCCTAAAACCACCCAACCGCTTCCTGACTTATCTTCCTTTTCTCCTCCCCCTACCCCCTTCATCTATACTACCTTATTATTTAAGACCCAAGTAAGCCTTAACAACTCCTTTTTCCCCATAGCATTCTTCTTACCTTTGGCATTAGCTCTCCCCCTTTCCTGTAATATCCTGTATTCAATCTCCATCATGAATTCCATCTGCTTCTCAAAACCATCCATTAAGACACCAAGGAATTCCCCAAACTTTTGGTAATTGGAAAGCACCCAGTTCGAAATTAACTCACCTTCAAATAATGTCTGAGACCAGTGTTGCGACGTCCATTCCTCCATCTCAGACCCATCCTCTGAAATCTCCCCCTCCTCCAGTGGAGCTATGTCTTGGGAACCATACATCATCAACTCCACAATAGCAAGTTCTTGGGAACTCTTACACCCCTTCCTGTTCTCCACTTCTCTTGCATCGCCAGTTCCACAACCTGTACAGGAGATACACCTCCCCCCTACAAGCCTCCACAACTCACCATTGCAATATTGGTTTCTTAGGTGCTAGGACTTCCTCTGAACTTTGGAGTTCCCAAAATGCCAACCTCCACCAATTCTTCATATGTTGATGAGTCCTCTTCCTCCATCATCAATCCTTTCCCTTTTCCCGCAATCGACCCTTTTTGGATCCCCTATTGCTTCAATTAGGAGTTCCTTCCTTCTAAAATCTTGATCGCCCCTAGGTCCCTTCCAAGCTTCTCCCAAAAGTTCTTTGAGCTTTCTTGGTTCTACCAATGGCCTAGCTTAAAATTAGAGGTTCAACTTACAAAATGCACCTTCCTAGGAGGCCCAACAGATGGAGGGCCTTGGGCCAAAGCATTTGACCATTTGACCCCCCCCCCAACCTCACATTCCCCTTCCCAGTTACAATTTTGACCCCTGGGCCACCCCTTGTGTTTAAAGTTTCGAGTATGCCATCCGACCCACTCATCTTTTCCCAAACCACCTAGAATCCCCAAACCCAACAAGCATTCCCCTATTAATGCCTTTAACTCCTCTTTACTACTCAGCCAAAAACCCTCTCTCAAATCATTTGAAATTTGAACCTGGTCGCTTGGCCACAATGAAGTTCTTTGTCAGATGCTATAGACTTCTCCATTGTCCAATTTTCCTTCCCATTTGACTCAAATCAACAGTTCCTCTATCATCTTCTCCAAACCGACAAGCAGCATTGCCTCCTATGTGATACCCACTATTTGTCCGACCAAAACAGACCCACCAACTCCTCCCTCTCTTCTACCTCTAAGGAAACCTCCCTATAGCTTGCAATCGACTCATCCCTTGTCATCCTCTTAGTCGATTTGTGCAAATTTGTTGCCGGCCTCACCAATGGTTTCAGTTCTAACCAGATATGAACAGCATACACGACTTCACCCACCTTTACTTCCACCATGGTCAGAATCTCTCCTCTCAACACCTCTCACCAATTCACGCATCACCAACTCATCCATGGAGTCATCTGTGGCTAGAAAACCCCCACAAAATTCCCCAATCGCAGAGATAAGTTCCAGACTCCACAAAACCAGCGGGAGACCTGTACTTAAATCTTAAGTTTTATTAATGAAAGCTACCTGTTATTGATCAAAAAAAGAACAACTAATAAGGAAGAAAAATACCCTCCCAATTGCATAAAATGAAGTGCTTAACTGTGTCAGGAGAGGTGGGCATACCAAAGGTGGAAAAAGCAGTAGAACATGCACAGCCATACATACAACGTAGGAACTGATAGCTTCAAGACCCTCTCAATGGCATATAGTAGGTTCCCTTTCAAAGGATGTTGAGAATTCTGGATAATTGGATTAATATACTGCAAAGTCCTTCCACCGGAAGTATATAAGAAATATTGTTATGTAAATTGAAATCAAAAAGGAAGTGATCAGAAAACTTCTTCATAAAATATCGAGGAGCAACTTACTTGCTCTATAATAAAGCCCATAACTCCTGTAAATATTACAAGCTTCACAAGTTGACGGATCACCCAACCCTTCCGTATGCATGTCGTACGAGGATAGCTTGGCTACAAATAATGATTAAGAATTAAGTAAATACATGGTCTCAGGAGTCAGGACATATGCATGCTGAGGTCATAAATACCACGGATATGTATCATTAAAAGGAACAAGAAATAGGGGAGTGAGCTCAAAATAATCAATTACAGAAAGCAAGAGAAAATGATCAATTAAAAAATATAAATAAGTGAAACTTCGACCACTAACTGCTAAGCCTAGATTTTTCATCCCATAGATCATGTAGAAGAGAAACAAGAAATGCACAACATAACTACTAACAGCAGAAGTAGTTTATTAAGGAAGACCCATGTAAAATGATAGGGTGGAGGAGGGAGATAAATACCCTGACWAAGTATAGGGCAATCCTATAATGAGACCTAAACAAATATTAGGATTTAAGCTGCAGTTCAAGAAATCAACAACTAGGAGAAATAAAAGATGAACAAGAACTGAAAACCTGAAATAAACAAATAAAATCCTGGAAAACTATGGGACTGTGGCTTGACTATTAGGTATAAAGGGCAGTTAGACTAGAGAGAGGATCTATCAGGAATAAGTCAACTCATTTCCCTATCTAAGGACTCCTAAACATACTAAGCATCATACCTAGAAGAGTAGATAAAAAATTATGGACAAGGAACAAATTTAAGGGTTCAGGCTGATGATGTCTAATTTATAGAAAAGGCCATTGTTTGTTACAATGGTAAAAACATGGAAACAAGTGAGAGATGGTTTTGACTTTGGTGCAATGGTAAATTTTGAAGAGAGTATCCAGGGCCATATTCTTCCACTATCTTGATTCAATAGTCCATAACAAGGGAGAGATCARGGAGGATTTTGCCCATAGAACTTGGAAGCAAGTATGAGAAAATGGGTTTGACTTTGATGCAATGGTAAATTTTGGCATGTATCCAGGGTCATATTCTTCCGCTATCTTGGTTTGATAATACATAACAAAGGAGAGATCAAGGAGGATTGTGCCCATAGAACAAGAGTGGGATGGGCAAAATGATGGGGTGCATCCAAAGTCTTATTTAATAGGGGAATATCACTTAGGCTAAAAGGAAAATTTTATATAATGGTTATTGTAAGCCAATAGGGATAGGGGTGGACTTATGTCACTAAGGGGAATGAGACTTATGACGCTTTTCAGTATGACACTCAGTATACCTAGGTTCCTTCGAATGACTCCATTCTTGATCCTATCCTATTTAGTTTTTCCACTCATCCATCTCAGCATACTCATTTTTTTGTAATAAATAAAAAGATTATATTAAAATAAAAAGGAAGAGATACAAGGAAAGCGGCCAGAAGTCACTCGAAAGAGATGCAAATTTCTTTTAGGCATGTTTCTTAACTACTTAGTACTATACTCCAGCATAGTGATATGACCCAGAAATTTGACACGTAGTTCACAGACTTACAGCAGCGTTCACACACTCGAACATCAACAAAAGAAACTAGTATTCATTCAGCAGAAAACATTAACAGTTGGTCGGTTCTTCGAGAGACCGCCGGCTCTCCCAAACACTCACAATATTCTTTACTCAAAGAAAACATACCACCCCCATCCCCCAAAGCCCCTTCTTATAC